TTATCTAATTATAAAACTCAGGGGGTCATTCGTTATTCAGGAAGGAAATCATAAAAATGAGTTAACTAAATAAAATAAACAAATAAATAAAAAGAAAGTCCTAAGAATTGTAACACTGTGCTGGGTGTAGTGGCTTATGCCTATAAACCCCGTTCTTTAGGAGGCCAAGGCTAGAGGATCACTTTGAGACCTTGAGCTCCGGACCAGTCTGGGAAACTTATTAAGACCTCATCTCTACAAAAAAAATTAGCTGGGCATGGTGGCACATGCCTGTAGTCCCGGCTACCAGGAGGCTGATGTAGGAGATCACTTGTGCCCAGGGGTTTGAGGCTGCAGTGAGCAGTGACCGTGCCACTGTTCTCCAGCCTGGGTGACAGGGTGAGACCTTGACTCAAAAAACAAAAAGAAAAAGCAGCACAGTGCATAATTATACCACATGATGTCCTCCTTACGAAGACCCTGGAAGAAATCCTATCTGAAGTCAGTATCAAGGATAAATGCATTTTTTAAGCAATTGTCTTGTTTATGTCTCATGAACATTATGAGTTTCGTAACTGACAGGTTGGATCCTAAAAACGGCCAAAACTAGGCTCTTACTTAGATCACAATGTATGTATCTTTAGCCTCATTCACATTTCAGCTTTATCACTATCCTCAGCAGTGTGTGATTCCCCCTTTCACTTGTTGTCTTTGATGTAGTCTTGTAGGCCACTTTAGATCCTGTCTAGAACAAGGCAAGGTACAGGTAAAACAGTACAAAGACAGGCCCCTGTAATCCCAGCACTTTGGGGGCCGAGGTGGGAGAGTTTGAGACCAGTCTAGGCAACATAGCCAGACTGTGTCGCTATAAAAAAAAAAAAATCAGCTGAGCATGGTGATGCATGGCAGGAAGATCGCGTGAGTTCAGAAGGTCGAGGCTGCAGTGAGCCATGAGTGTGCCACTGCACTCCAGCCTGGATAACAGAAGGAGACTCCGATTCAGTAAAAGGGAGGTTAGTCAGTACTCATGCTATCAGGTTACCAGTTCTCGCCGCAGCTTGGTCAGCTCCTCCTTCTTCTGCTCTTCCTCCTGCTGCCTGGCCTCCTCCAGTAGCTGTGCTTTCTGGGCTTCCACTTCAGCCATTCTCCTCTCCAGCTCCTGCCGCTCTTTGGCTCTCTTCTCAGTAGCCAGCTGGAAAGGTTCCTGAACTAGAGAACCAGAAAGGCCCTCTGAGTATAGAAACAGAGATATATTGATGCACAAGCAGGACTTGCATACATCTAGCCTCCCCCGAGCTCCTCCCAGAAGAGCAAATGGCACAGACATGCGTGGCAGCAGAAGGGCTGAGCTCTGAGGAAGCCCTGTTAGGAGAACGATGGCATCAGCTATGTACAGTTTTAGACTGTAAGAGTTGGAAGGGTCCCTGGAAGTCATCCAGTGTAACTGAGAACAAAGCAAGACCCACAGAGGTGAAGTAGCGTGCTCCAAACTACACAACGATTTTGAGGTGGACACAGGAAAAGAATCCCAATTTTCTCACACACTGCCCAGTAATTAAGGAACCAAATGTTTTGTATCTAAGGCTTGCTTGAGGGTGAACTACACAAAGGCATCCTGGCTCTCCCTTCCCTCATTTCCTTGCTATTCTGTGGGTGGGAAAGCCTGGAACTCTTGTTGGAATGCTAGCTGCCAAGGTTCATGTTAAATGAATCTGACCCCAACACATCCTACAACTCAACATAGCACTGGGATCAATAAAGACAAAAATGGGTCTCGAGGAAGAAAAGATACCATCCTCTGAAATCAAACACTCCTGGTTGACACAGTATTGTACTGACATATTGAGGTCCAGCAGCCTCCTGGAAAGTCTGACAATTCTGCCCCAATCCCACAAGAGTACATAGAACACTACCAGCAACTGATTTCTTCTCCTTCTTGGGAACAAAGGGCTCTTGGGAGATGACGGTGTTTGGACGTGCCTTGAAGCAAGCCGCTTCTTTCTGCTGTTTACGTTTTTCCTCCAGCTATTAGAGAGAGAGAGGGTCTGTCAGATAAGCAACTACACAGCTTTCTGTGACTACTACCTCATAAATTAAGTTCTAATGTTTCTGAATGCCTTCATAAATAGAGATAGTAGATTTAATATAAACTCTAGATAAAATTTCTCACACAAACGTTATAATGAATAGATAAGTCTGATAATATCTCAGCCCACTGAGAACTAGAGAGCATTTAAAAACTTTTAAGGTACCCAACACAAAGAAATGATACATGTTTGAGATGATGGATATGCTAATTACCTTGATCATATCACTATATATGTATGGAAATACCACCAAGTACCCCCATGCATATGTACAATTATTGCCAATTTTTAAAAATTAAATATTTTAAAAAGGTACTTTTAAGGCTTATCTTAGCCTCACAAAAATAAACTACCTTGTCTCTATATGCCTCTAGATATAACTCATTAGGAACTACACAATATCACCTATAAAGTATTCTCCTTCCCACCCCTGAAAAACATCTAACCAGAATTTAATCACGCCTCTAAATCTAATTACTCATTTATATGAAGTATAGACAATAGAGGAACATGTTAAACACTACCATGGAAATGCAAAATCCAGGTTGTGGAAAATCTATAGGACAAACAATTCAATGTATTCAACTAATAAAATGCAAAGAAAAGAGATGGTAGATCGAAAGAGATTTAGATTTATCAAACAAATGTACCATGTGGACCTTATTTGAATATTTATTTCAACGAGTCAACTGTTTGAAAAAATTATGGGAGTCCACGCATGGTGGTCTATGACTGTAATCCCAGAACTTTGGGAGGCCAAGGCAGGAGGATTACTTGAGCCCAGGAATTCGAGAGCACCCCAGGAAACATACTTGCTCCTCCTCCCTACAAAAACAATAAAAAATTAGCCAGGCATGGTGGTGCACACCTGTAGTCCCAGCTACTCGAGAGGCTGAGGCGGAAGGATCACCTATGTCCAGGAGGTTGAGGTTGCAGTGAGCCATGATCCTCCCACTGCACTCCAGGCAAGACCTCAACTAAAAAAAAGAAGAAAGAAACCAGCCTGGGCAACTTGGTGAGACCTCGTCTCTACAATAGATCAAAAAAATCAGCTGGGTGTGGTGGCACACGCCTGTCGTTCCAGCTACTCAGAAGGCGTCCAAAGGAGGAAGGATCGCCTGAGCCTGGCAGGTCCAGGCTGCAGTGACCATCAATGTGCCGCTGCACTTCAGCCTAGGTGACACTGACACTCTGACTCAAAAAAACTAACAAATTATACACACACACATATAGATGAAAAATGTGGGGACATCTGAATGCTATCTGTCACAATTAAGGGATTACTGTCCAATCTTTTTAAGTGTGATATTATTATGGTTATAAATCCTTATATTTTAAATATACACACTGAAGTATTTTTGGATGACAAGCAATGTTGCCTAGGATTTGTTTCAAAGTAATTTTATGTCAGAAGGAGTAGCCAGGAATAGGTAGAAGAATGAATGAAACAAGATTTTCCATTTTTTGATCATTATAGAACCAGGTGATGGGTTTCCGGTAATTCATTATACTATTTGCTCTACTATTTCTATGGTTGTGTCCAAAAAACTTTTTGAAAAATTATTTTATTATGGAAAATGTCCCACATAGACATTCTGTCTTGGTTATTGAGAAGGGAGATTGCACTACAACTTCCAAAGCAACAGTCCTCAGTTTTCCTAGAAAAAAATGACATCAGAAACCTACGTTCAGTCAGGTAAGCAATTAAACCTCTCAGTCTTCAAGAGGGCGATTCCTACAAAGACTAGCCCAGAGCTCCTTGTGGACAAAGCCAGGATTAGTGATGACAAAAAAAGTCCCAAACATTCAGAAATTTGTGGAAATCTCTCTAGCTGGGTAGAATTAGATCCCAATTAATAATTCAGCCAACTCCCAATTAATTGTTTTTAATCTCCTGACATCTATAAAGAGCAAATGGTACATTATGCTGAGAAAGCAGCATACCAAATTGAGAATCCATTTTCCCATACTGTTTCTTACCAAAGGACCAACAAAAGGGAATGAGCATTTAATGAATGAGATTAATGGATGGAATAGATGGGACCTTAAAGAGACTTTTGAGGCAACTCCTTTGGATCCCCTCCCACTGTGGGAGCTTTTCTGTCCTCTCATTCTGTCCTCTGATTCTGTCAAATCATTCTTTCTCACTTTCTGGCTGTCCGTGTCCCTCATTCTTCCTGGGCATGAGACAAGAACCTCGACGCTGAAGAGCTGCAACCTAAAGAGCTGCAGAAGATCCTCGGAGCCAAAGAGCCATACACCACCCCAAAGTCTGGCTTGCCAGGCGACGGAGCTGACTAAATCAGGAGAGCTGCCGGAAGGCGGAACTCTGAAGCTGAGATACCACAGGGACTAAGCTCGCCAGCTAACCAAACCAGCAACACTCTCAGGGCTTGGCTTCCCAGCCCATTAGAGCCGACACTCGCGGGGGATAGGCTTACCAGCCCTTTCAGACTACCCTCTCTGGGATTTGGCTGACTGACCCATTGAGCTGACACTCTCAAAGCCCAGGCTGACCTGAAAAATCTGCACCAGTTTTGGCGCCCGAACGTGGGGCTCAATGGAAGGGATCTACAAGGAACATAAACATGTTGAAAAGGTAAAAACAAGCAATCCCATTACAAAGTGGGCAAGAGACAGGAATAGACACTTCTCAAAAAAAGACATACGAGTAGCCAACAGATACATAAAAAAATGCTCAGCCTCACTAGTCATCAAAGAAATGCAAATTAAAACCACACTGAGATACCACCTAACTCCAGTCAGGATGGCCATCATCAATAACTTAAAAACAACAGATGCTGGAGAAGATACAGCGAAAAGGGAACAGTTCTACACTGTTGGTGGAGTGTAAACTAATACAATCTCCGTGGAAAACAGTTTGGTGATTCCTAAAAGATCTAAAAATCGACCTTCCATATGATCCCGCAATCCCCCTACTGGGAATATACACAGAGGAACTCAAATCACTCTATGAAAAAGATACCTGCACACATATGTTTATTGCAGCATTGTTCACAATAGCAAAAATGTGGAACCAACCATGTTGCCATCAAAAGGGGACTGGATATAAAAATGTGGTACATATACACAATGGAATATTCCACAGTCATAAAGAAGGACAAAATTATGAACTTCACAGCAACCTGGATGGACTTAGAAGCTATAATACTGAGTGACTGATCACAGAAACAAGGAACTGTGTATCACATGTTCTCACTTACAAGTGGACCTTGAACAATTATTGTAATACTGGAAGAAAAGGATTGGCAGTAGTGGGAAACTGCCAGGGGAGGGTGAGGGCGAGATTGGCAGTAGTGGGAATCTGCCAGCGGAGGAGGGACACACCTCATCAACAAGGGTACATGCATAATGAACATTTGTATTCCTAATCCTGAATAAATTTTTAAAAACTCAAAAAAAAAAAAAAGAGAGACTATTGACTCCAAAAAATCAGCTGGGCATAGTGGCGCATGCCTGTGGTTCCAGTTACTTGGAAGGCTGAGGTGGAAGATCATCTGAGCCCAGCAGGTCAAGGCCACAGTGGCCATGAGCATGCCATGCCACTGCACTCCAGTCTAAGCGAAAGAGTGAGACTCTGACTCAAAAACCAGAGACAAGTGACTCAAAATAAGCCTGTCAGTTCTCACATTCCCCAGGTGATCACTTAGGCAGCGGTCTGCAAACTTTGACCTACAAGTCAAATCTAGCTTGCAACCTGTCTTTGTACAGCCCTTGAGCTAAAAATGGTCCTTACATTTTCAAAGGGTTAAGCACACACACACACACAATATGTGACAAACCGTATGTAAGCTACTAAATGTAAAATATTCACTATCTGGCCCATTAGAGAAATGATGTGCTGACCCCTGTTTACAGTGAAAGCCTCTGAAATAACCTAGTATGTTGTCCTAGATGATTTTAGCACATTGAGTCTGCCTGTCTAACCAAGCAACCCAGCGATTGACATTTTGGCTGCTCTCCGCATTCCCCACCTGGTACTTCCATGTCTGTGCCTTCACAGCACCTCTCTTGTCGGTCTCCAGGCAGAAGGCTCAATCTGGGTCACATGCTTTACCTT